TGTGGGGCGTTCGCAACAATGCGGCGATCAACGCGCTGTACTTCAGCGGGAGCGGGGACGCAAGGCGCCTGCATGTGCCTTCACTCAGCATCGTGATGAAGAGGGCCTGAATGAGCGTATCGATGTTTCCTGGTAGCGGTCTCCGAGTCGACACGGTATTCCTCTGGTGTATATTGCGGCTGACATCCTGGGTATATGAGTTAGCAGCCTTGGCTCCATTCATGCACTCAGCGTGGTTTTCAATCGTCTGGGTTCCGGTGGGGGGAGCATAGTCGACGGCGAGGTCCGTGACTAGTACCTACCCTCACGGACTCAGACCGCGATCTGCCACCATCATAAGATGTCGAAATCGCGGCTCTTGGTAATGTCCTCTTGACGGGTATCCTTACTTCCATCCATGAGGTACCCAGAGTATTATAGCTTGGGCGACGACTCGAGTCGTTTGTCAAGCGGAGCCGCCGTACCGGGATTCCCTTGGGACTGTACTTGTGGCAATGGGCGGATTGATGACTCGGATAGTTGATCAGTCCGCCAAGACAGGTTTCCCCGGGCCCGCGCCCTGTCCGCCCTATCAGTGTGTGATCGCTTCTTAGGCTCAGTGTTGCCACGGTGAGTACGCAGCACATAAAGTCTTGTTGTGGAGAATGAGAGCACTCATTTTCTCACTTGCTTTGCCCTCCATCGCGAGTTGATTTTCCCCAGCAATCAGCCCTCCGAAGCCCAACGTCGGACACATTTCGCGCAATGGCTCGTATCGCGCAGACTCGGCAGGGCCATGGACATCAACCGCCGCCAGCACTCATTCGCAGGTTCCCACTACCATTCCTTTTTACACCCCGTGAGCCGGTCACTCTCGTGGAGCTGCGCATTCGTACCTTCTCCGGAATGATACGATCCAAGCCCAATTGGTGGACGAAAGTCCACGACGCTGAGATTATTGCCAAGTGGCGACAGGAGATGGTTGAGCAGGACCGCGCCACGGTCGACAGACTATGGGGCGGTGAAGGACGCTTCGAGCATGGCGATGGCAAGAAGAAATGGCCACGAGACCCAATCACGAACGCTCAGCTGGACTATATCTTCGGCCAGCTCAGATACGAGGCGGGCCGGTATGATGAACCCACCGGAATCTTCGTGAGTCTGTCGAGTACTACTTCGTGACAGAGCACTAACCACGAACCTCCATAGGCGGTTGCTGTCCCGATGGTGTATGAGTCCCGCAGCCTGATTCCTGCTGACCTCAAGTCCTCGCTTGTGTCGGCAGTCTCTGTTCTGGAGTCCATTCCCGACGATCAGAAGGACTGGCATCCAGGATCCAACAAGCAGGTCCTAGATCTCGTCCATCCTTCCTTGTACTGTCTCCGCATCGGCCAGTCCCCTATCCGCAACAAGGACCCAGCTGGAGCAGATTCCGTGCACGTCTTGAACCACGACAAGTACCTGTCGGAGAGGCCTGATTTCAAGCAGCTCACCAACCACGCCTACCTCATCTCACGAGACTATCAGTGGCTACCGACCGACTTTTCAGTCTCGGAGAGCGGCGTCGTACAGCCTCTCAGCTATATCAACAACATTCATCCCATCAGGCATCGCTCCCTGCACGATGCAGTCCCTTCCATCCTCTCTCGCTTTGTGCCTCTCTTCAGCAAAGTGCTGGCTGATATTCTCAGCCCGGAACCGCCGCTGGCCCTCGTGCTTGATCCGCGTAGCTGGTATGAGCATCTCGTTCGGCCCGAATGGGAAGCCGAAGGAGTATCAGAAGATCGGGAACGATGGTCGCGTCAGGAACGATGGTCGCGCGAGGAGCGATGGCCTCTCATTCCGGACCCGGCGCCTTTCTGTCCTCCGAGCAGCGACGACCGCATTGAGTTCGAGCTCAAGGGCCGGACGGTGCAGGTCATTGTCAAACTTGCAAACATCGTCCTCACGCCTGAGAACCCGAAGTACCCTGGCGGCTCGTGGCACGTCGAGGGCATGGTGAACGAGCGGATCGTCGCTACGGGGATCTACTACTACTCCTCGGAGAACATCACCGAGTCGCGCTTGGGCTTCCGAGCGACTGTCGGCGACGCGTTCGAATGCGGCATGTGGATGTCCTATGACCAAAGCGACTACAAGGGCTGGTACACTGCGTACGGCTTCGCTGGCGGCAATGCTCTCAACCAGGAGATTGGCCACATCGTTGCCGAGGAGGACAAGTGCGTTGCATTCCCGAACATCTATCAGCACCGTGTCGACTCGTTTGAGCTTGCGGACCCCTCGAAACCTGGACACCGGAAGATCCTATGCTTCTTCCTCGTCGACCCTCTTCAAAGAATCCACTCGACGAGCGACGTCCCGCCTCAGCAAGCCGAATGGTCGATGGAAGAGATGATGCGCGTACCTGCATTGAAGAGCTTACCCACGGAGCTATTCGACATGGTCGCTGGATATGCACTGGACGGAACGATCTCGCGGAAGGAAGCTGAAGAGCATCGGGATAAGCTGATGAACGAACGAGCGAATTTTGTGATGGAGCACAATGAGCATGTCTACGAGCTCGAATTCAACATGTGTGAGCACTAGGTTTTGTTACTTGTACGATACCGGAGACGATGTATAGGGTTTCTTTGGTGTATCTCATTATTCTTTCTCATTTTTGGGTTTTCTTGCTTGAACTGTATCGAGAACGTCCTCCTCGCCCGTCGAGGAGGTGCTTGACCGACATGATGATGGTCCGAGTGGAACGTTCAACGAGCGCCTCTGAGTAGGACCCATGTAGCGCCCAAGCATGTGACTATGGGGAACAATGTTTAGGTTCGATTCTCGCTGTGGCAACAAACGAGCACAGGTTGCCTACCAACCACATCCGCCCTTTCAGGCCCTCTTCACTGATCCGACCAAACATGTAAGGGTACTATATTCGCCGAATATTGGTTGTACTAATGATGTCACTGCAGTATCGTCCATGCTAGACCACAATTCCTCAGCTTACGGCACGACGACGCAGCGCGTACTAGCCATTCCGGAGATCCTGGAACTCGTCTTCTCTTTCCTCGATGCTAGCGGAAAATCGCGATGCGCATGTGTGTGTAAACAATGGTCAGAGGTAGCCCTCGATGCGCTCTGGCGCGACGTGGACAGCCTTCGCCGATTGTTCGGCCTCCTTGCGCCCATCGAGAGCCCACCTGCCCCTGAGGACTCGAATGTATGTGTAACTATGAGAAATCCGGCATTTTGGCACTGACGTCCGCATATCAGCGTTTTGTTAGGCCTATTGAACCTTCGGATTGGTCCAGGTTCATGCGGTACGCCCGCCGCATCCGCACCCTCTCGGTTCTACCAGCGGACGACGAGCGCATCCGAGGAGCACTCGTTTTCGACGAGGTCGCGCGCACTCGGACGACATTCAACATTCTACCGAAACTTTCGACGCTCATATGGACGTCGGAACTAGGCGAGCGCCTGCGAAGTTCGCTCATGTTCATGCACGAGAACGTCAAGCACTTTGTGGTCAAGCTTGTTCCCTCGGACTACCCGCTTTCCGTCTATTTCCAGGAGATACCCTTGCGCATGCCCAAACTTACATCTTTGGACTTGCGATTCACCTTCCCCGTTCGAAACATTGAGGCGAGCCTTTGCGACTTGCTAGCAGCACTCCCGGAGTTGCAGAAGATCGTCCTTCCCAAATTCACGTACAGCGCCAAAATCATGGAGCGATTGTCTACTATCCCTGCAATACGGGTGATTCAATTCGAATACCTCGAAAGCCAAGGCTCAGGAGATGCTTCGGACGTCCACAACTGGTTCCCTGTCCTCCAAGAAGGCGCGTTCCCATCCCTTGTCGACCTATCCGTCAGTGTTCACCTCCCACACATGGTCCGCTTCCTGAATGCGGAGTTTGCGCCGGTCAACCTCCAGTGTCTTTATGTGCACGTCCTCTACATCGTGCCTCCGTATCAGCTCTACGAGTTCTTCGACTCCGTGGCTCGGATCCTCCCCAACCTCACGCAACTCCACGTCGACTTCGTTGGAGATCCTAGTCCTCTCATGTTCCGCACTCGCCTGTCGGACGACGATCGCGTGGACCTGAGCACGCTACGCCCATTGTTCAAGCTCTCGAAACTGAAGGAGCTCGTCATCAACTGGGACGCGCCTCTCGCCTTGAGGCAAAGCGACATCGAAGAGCTCGCATCCAGCCTGTCCTCTCTCGAGATACTCTTCCTCGGTAACGAGCCTATCCCGTGTCCGCAGGCCCCTCCGCTTACCCTCCGAGCGCTCATCCCGTTCGCTCAACACTGCCCCAACTTGCGCGAACTTGGCCTATATCTCGATGCGTCGACCGCAGACCTTGACGAAGCCTCACGCGAGCTACGTGCGTTGCTCCCCCCAACTCGCTTCCGTAACTTGAAGAAGCTGCAATTCGGACTGTCCCGCATCGCAGAACCTGAGCCCGTGGCGCTCTTCCTGAGCCAACTCTGCCCTCCCGGGTGCGCGGTCGATGCCGGTGTAAGCTGGTGTGGTGGCTTCAGCGCACTGCAGGCGCAGAGTCCGGAGGATGCGCAGGTACTTGTGGATATGTGGGGCCAGGCGAGCGATTGGTATCCCTGCTGGAAGGAGGTGAACCATATGCTCCCCTTACTGACGAAGGTGCGGATGGAGGAAAGTGCGCGGAGGCGGGAGTTGGAGCGTGAAGTGGAGGATCTGCGAATACGGTGTCGTTTATACGAGGAGCGGGTAGATGCGGGCATCCCTCGAGATGGGGGTTGTATTGCTTTATGAATCTAGATCTAGTGCTATCTGTGTGCCTCTTCACGTACCTCCAGACCAGCTATGCACAGGCAACTATCTAGCAGGCACGCTCGCATGCGGGATCACCTATAAAGTGCGCTTGGGATCCGGTCGCTGGCTGTGTTCCTACGACCCAAACACATAATGTCTAAAGGCGTACCGTCGCATGAGTCATGACCGGGTAAAATGGTACCTTCAAGCGTAGCGGTTGAGAATCCTATGAGAGGCACTTCCCATTAGCCGACTCGAACGACTGACCTCGTCATGCCCCGGTACAATACCGGTACTAGTGACGCGCTCTACCAACTGAGCTAAACGGGATGAATGACGAGCACACTTGTTTAGATGTGTCGTGGGTGTAGTGTTAGTACCGTTAAGCGACAGATGTTTCTGAAGCGCAGACCGTAACACAAACGTAGGACACAGCTGTTGAGATCGTTATCAGGATATCGTCAGCACAGCATGTTGGTGCACCTAAGGGCCACCTAGTCAATGAGCCTATAGGGCCTGAGAGCTTGGTAGGCGAGGAAGATAGTGTCGAGAGGAATTGCATCAAAAATTATTCCCATTAGCCGACTCGAACGACTGACCTCGTCATAGCCGAAAATACTAGTGACGCGCTCTACCAACTGAGCTAAACGGGACATGCTACATTGGGAAATGGTTAAAATCATCAGCCACGGGTATCCCCTTGATACTTTTCAGCCGCCGCATGAGATTTCGAACTTGCCGAGAACATCCAAGTGGACGTGTGGCTCAGCGACGGTCAATCGCACTGAGTCGTCTCGGGATCTCAACCACAAACATGTCTGCCGCAATCACATACTCATATACACCCACAGATGGTTTCCATACGCAGACGTCCACTCTCCAGGAGGCCACCGAGAAGTTGATCAGGTCCCATATACCGTCAGGGGGAACGTCCCAAGTCGAACTGCAGAAGAGATATCACTTTGAGTTCCTGCTCCGAAACCTGCGTCAAGGGTTTCCGGAGCGGTATACCTCACAGGATGCGAGTCAACCGTGGCTGATTTACTGGACGCTCCACGGTTTCAGCTTGCTCGGAGCCGGCTTGGACGACCTCACAAAGAAGCGGTAAGCACAGGGGACTACAATCCACTACATAAATCACTCAAAGGCTTCGATATACATAGAACAATTGAAACTCTCCTTGCACTCCAGCACCCTGAGGGCGGCTTTTCCGGGGGCCCCGGCCAGGCAGCCCACTTGCTCCCTACCTACGCGGCCGTGTGCGCATTCGCCATCGTCGGGCGTCCTGGACCTGGTGGAGGTTGGGAATCCATTGATAGGTAAGCAGTGCGTATAAAGGTCATTCTATGATCTTACTAAACGTTGCATATGGAACATCCGCAGGCAGAAAATGTATAGATTCTTTATGTCGTTGAAGCAACCCGATGGGTCCTTCCTGGTCAGCCATCATGGCGAGGTCGATGTCAGGTTCGTGCGTTTTTCACCACATGGAGGGCAGTACAATATGCAATACATTTGAGGTGGTGTGTGGCAATTCCAACCGCTTGTCATCAGATTAATCGCATTGGCTCCGAAGTACTGCATTGCAGACAGCTTCGTGGACATTTTCACCGGGGAATACCCTAGAATACCAGTGTCACTGACTAACACATAGGGGTATCTATTGCCTATTGGTTGTTGCGACACTCCTCAATTTGTTGACGCCCGAGCTTCTCGCCGGCGTCCCCGATTTCCTCGCCACATGTCAAACCTACGAGGGGGGTTTCGGTAATGCATCCTTCCCTGGATGGGCGTTCGAAGCTGGTGCGTTTCTTGAGCATATGCGGGCAGAAGTTTCCAATAGTAGATTGACGTATCACTCCTCCCCCAGACGATCCCGAGTCGGAAAAACCAACTGCTACCTCTTTCGATCCTGCTGCCCCTCGGCCTCCTCTCGGGGAAGCCCATGGCGGCTATACCTTCTGCGCTACAGCTTCATGGGTTATATTGCAATCCTACCTCGATCTGTACTATGCTCGTCCCGGAGCGTCAACGCCCGCCCCCTTGCCGCTTCGCCCGGAAATCAACACGCGTGAGTTGCTGCGATGGTGCACACAAATGCAAGGTCTTCCCATCGAGCTCGGCGGCTTCAGAGGTCGCACGAACAAGCTAGTGGATGGCTGCTACAGCTGGTGGGTCGGTGGCTGCGTCGTCCTCGTTGAAGCCTTGCTAGGCGTGGGAGTGCTCCACGACTTGCCGAATGAAGGAGACGGTGGCGAAGAAGAAGGACACAAGGCATGGGATGATGTTGATGGTAAGCAACTTCTGGGCTGTCCGCTGCTTTTTGTGACATCGGCATCCTGACATCGCTACATGACGTCCCAATCTCCCGCCCGCCCGCCCGCGGCCGATGTCTCATAGACTCGCTCTTCGATCGGAAGGCATTGCAAGAGTACATCCTCTGTGCAGGCCAACATCCCGCCGGGGGACTGCGCGATAAGCCGCCCAAGTATGTCGCTCATATCGCCCCCGCGCGATCCATCACCTCTGGCGCAGGCACTAAAGTCTTCTCTTACGTGCTCCAGGCCCGCAGACGCCTACCACACGCTCTACTGCGCCGCTGGGCTTTCTGCAGCCCAGCACCGCGTCGTGCCCTCCGATACGCGGAGGCACGCTGTCATCTCCGCTTGGGATCCCGTGCAGGCCCGTGCGCATGACGGTGCGTCTCCGCCATTGCCCGCCCAACAGTGCGCCCACCCCGGAGTCTATCTGACCGCGCCTCCCCTTCCCCCTGTCATCTAGGCACCGGTGTCGTCACTGTAGCGTCGGACGCTGAACGTGAGAAGCTGGACGCACTCCGTAGGGAGACGTGCGCCCACGTCCTGTCGTGGACAGAGGAAGAGGGCACGGCTCTCTATGTCGGCGGCTCAGCGAACCGCGTGGTGAGTGAGCGTACCGCGCTTTCGTGGCGCCTCCTGCGGCCCGCCCGCAGATGGGCAGATGTGCTGATGTTGGATTGTCGCTCTGCAGAATGCGACACACCCCGTGTTCAACTTAACCGTGACTCATTCAGACGCGATGATGGCCTACTTCTACGGCCAAACACTTCCCTCTCGTTTGCCATCGCGTCCCAAGGCTTGATTTGAAGCGGTGATTTCTAGATACGGTGACGGTGAGCTCGGAAGCGAAGAACATGCGGAGTGTAAACAACAAATGCGGGGTGTCAGGAAGAGTTGTATACGCCAACTTGTACTACCACATGCTGAATTTTCACGGAACCATTACACCGTGTATACGACAGGCGGCGCGGCCTGGTCCGCCAAATCTCACGCCTCAGCTTTCAGGAGTAGCCACCGCCGTCGCGTGCGCTGCCGCGCATGGTACAAAGCCGCGTGCGAGTGCGCAAACCTCATTGCCCTGGCTTCGATGTCCCCGGCAATTAAGGGGTCCTCTCGGCAGAGGGTATCGTCGCTCGCGCTTCTCTCAGGCCTGGGAAGGACACACAGAAACGACCCTGTAACTGGCATCAGATGACTGGACGCTCTCAAGGTCGTGCCACCGGTGTCTGGGGACTCGTATATCAGAGACAAGAAGAGCCCGAAATCGGAAAAAATCTCCCCAGCCGTGCACGATGGAACCGGTCCAACGTGGTGGGCTACGTCGGTGTGAGAACGTATGCGATGCAGACGGCCATCGGTCAGCCCAAAGGGTGCCCGATTAGGTTTTGGCTCGTCCTGGGGGGCAACGAGAATGCTTCTTTCGGACCGGAGCCCATACATCGTGGGCAGAGACACAGAAGGGAGGTGTAAATGCGTCTGGGGAGTAGGTGCCCCTGCGCAAGACTCTTACTTTGATGATGAACCTGGTGTGGTGGAAGAAGAGTAGCGTGCCGTTATCGACCGCCGATAGTGCAAGCGGTCGGGTGAGATTCTATGAATTTGAGAGAGTTCTAGAAGAGGAGGTGATATAATACAGCTATACGTATAGCTCAACTTTTTCCCGTAACAGGAGACGTGGGACGGAGAAGAGTGTCGCGAGGAGGCAACGTATTGACATGCGGCTATCTGGCCATTCATAGACCAGGCGTTTGAGCGGCTGTACTTGCAAAGCTATCTCGCGAAGCGGGCGCACGAGCGGAAGCAGTCAGCCCTGTTTCACAAGCAGCATGCACCACTCACAACTTGGGAACCTCCGAGTCCCAACCGACCCGCAACCCCGGACTTTCTGCGGAGCCGCTCTCGTCAAGGACTGCTGCCCGTTCGACTGCGGAGGTCTTCCACCTCCTGCTCGAGGTGTGTCAGCCTCCGCCGGTCCTCCGAGCGCGACACCTCGAGCGCCTGCATCTGTCTCTCCAGCGCCGCAAAACGTCCTTGCTCTTCCAACCTCGCCTTTGTTGCGATCGGGAGCAGCTTCGCGACCTCGGTCCAGCGCATCCAGAACGCCGACAGCTCCGTGCGGACGTCCAGGGGTACGAGAGCGCGTTCCAGCGCGAAGTCGAACGCGTCTGGCCAACGGAGGCCGCAGTTGACATGGCACCCGAGCGGGAGAAGCTGACTTAAGAAGAGCGTAACCGGCTCCGCCTTCGTAATCACGGAGAGTCCGACGGCGAGCGTATCGAGGCGCTGGAAACGGGGAGTTGACTCACAAAGACAGGACGGTTCTGGCGGCGCCCGGGCGTCGATGTGGAGCGCGAGATAGCGGAGGTTGGTGCAGTAGCGAGCGAAGGGGACGAGGGCGCTAAGGGAGAGCTTCGGTCCGTGGGGGTCAGGGACGGGTTCAGGATTCAGCTGGAGACTCTCCAAAGATCGCCAATTGCTCGCGAACTCTTCCATGTCGTCATCCGTGAGGTTAAGTGCGTAGTCCCAGCGGAATTCGAAGATACGGAGCGAACGTGAAGAGAACAGGGGGCGGAAGACCATGATGTTTAAACGAACCTCGGGAGGTGGGGGAGGAAGCGTCAAGGGAGAATCCGGGGCAATGATGTAGTCAACAGAGAGATCCCGGAGTGAAGTGCACCTATCTCGCACTACGCAGAAGAACTCTCGTAGCTCGACTGGTGTCGTGGTCATCACGTTCTTGAGATGGAGCTGCGTGAGACGGGCGGGAAACATGGCGTTCTTGAGCAGGAGGGCCGCATGTGGGATTTGCGCGCTGAAGGCCAAGTCGCGGAGTACAGAGAAGCCATCCTCGGGAAGCGTCAGTGTATATTCTGCGACGTCTTCGCGGTTACCAGGCTGGGCCTGTGCAGGGTGCCCAACCGATATCGTCACCAGATGCTTCAGCCTCGACAGTTCGGTAAATATGCGAGGGGTTAAAGAGAAGATTGGCAAGGAGACCTGCTGCAGCTCGTGCAAGCCATGAAGAAGTACAAGGGCATCGACCTCAATAAGCCGCACTGGCTCGGTGAGCCTCAGCTCCAGACTTGTGACACCCGAGCAGCGGGCGCAGACTTGCTCAAAGAAAGTCGTAGACGAGGGCGGATCGGAGCGGTACAATTGTAGCCCAAGGTGCTTGATTCGACGATGCATGAATGTCAGAACATAGTGCTGTCGCGTCGGAGTGCACGAGAACCAAGTCAAGGACTGGAGGTTTGGGAAAATGTCCGGGTATGGGCATGACGCAGAGAGCTCGTCGAAGACCTTTGGGTGTAACGGTAGGTGTCGCTTTTCGCGTTCGGCAGAGGAGCGAGCCTGTCTTTGGTCATGCCGGAGTCGACGCACCCTATGTGAGTAGCGCTGGAAGCGTTGCCAATCAGCCGGCGTGAGCGGACGTTTGAACGCCTGTCATAGTCGGATTAGAACGCCGGACACAGAGATGAAATCGAGTTGCACCAACGTAAGCATTTGGAGGCCTGATAGATGTGCCAGTCGAACGTTCTGGCTTGAGCGAAAGCGGAGCAAGGACGGTCAAGGCGCGCCTCAGGTCGCTGACTTCGTGCCATAAACAGTCTAAGGCGATGTCAGACCAATGCTTGGATACACAAGCCATGCGAGAGAGGGAACGGTCGTCGAGGTATGAGAATATCATGACGAGCAGCTCGTCGATATGTCCGACTGTGCAAGCGTATTGCTTGTCCATTTTGCGCTGGGGAAAGCTGGACGGCGTGCGGGACGTCGAGAGCGAGCGAGGAGAGAGGAAGGAACTGAAGGCGGCGGCGGATGTGAGACGGGAGAAATTGCCGGTCTATATACCGACGTGTGTCCCACCGATGGATAGAGACCGATAAGACCCCGGGATCTCCTTTTTACTCACGAAGCCGAGAAATACTGATCTGAATCTTGACCGCGCATCTTCCCATGTCAGTGAAAGTGCCCGGGAATAGGAAAGTGAGGGCATCGTGCTGTGAGTGCGGCGGCGTTGATTGGGCGTGTTCCAGTATTGTAGGCGAATTACCTTCCGCGCGAACCGGGCGTGATATTCAGGCAGACGAAACGAGCCGTTTTGCTGCAGGTTTCGCGTAGGCTCCGAAGAGAAGTGCAGGAGAGTTGGATGCAAAGATGAACGCCGGACTATACAAGCGATCGCTACATCTTTGTTCACCGCCGCTATGATGCGGGCCTAGGTTGCCGTCCAGCGCCCACTATAATCCACTCCCTCGGGTTCGGTCTTCCAGCCTTTCAGATGTCCTCCGGTCATTTGTTTGCGGGCTACCGTCCATCTTCACAACTACCTTGGGCCGGAAGTACACCACGACTTGTGTATCTACACGCGGCTCTAACGACGTGCGTAAAACACGCTGTTTGAGGAACACCAATGTGTAGAACTACTGACGAAAACATCCGGCTTTCAGCAGCTTCGGCGAGCTTAGAGAGACCGAGCCCCCGCTGACAGATGCAGAACCCCTAAAAGGGCACTATCTAATCACCGGCACCCTGAACAAACGATCGAATGAGTCCTACTTGAGGATGTTGCGCCCAAAGCAATAGCCGGCTAGCGACCACGGGTTCAAACTTTGCTTGCTGGTCCATGCATGGATGACAAGCCCTCCATATGGCTCTCGCACCAAGGCAGACGACATCCGGCTTGACTGCCCTTGTGCGACGTCTGAGTACGAGACATATCCGCATATCAGGACTGGCTAGCGCTCCCGCTCCAGCGGCGACCTGTCTAACTTCACTCCTATGAGTACGTAATGAGCAAGCGCGTGAATCCAGGTCGCGGCACTCGGTCATCATGGATATCTGTACGCGAGCAACAGCCCGGGTATTATTCCGGAAGTACCGATGACTACCGGATAGAAGCACCCGCGAGACAAGCGATGGCATCTCTTACAACAAGGGTCTCCTTGAGATCGTTCCTGGGGAAGTTCATTAACCTTGTTGCTCGCAATTCAGCTGGTATCATACACTCGGTCAGCTGGCTCTCAATCATCACCCTACATATAAATTGTGAACTTACCATCGTCACCTCTGTGGTACTGAGACGTCCACTATGGACGCCGCGACAATGTCGCCCCAAATGGTTCTCTCGTCGAATGATAAGAAAGCAATGCCGACTGAGCCCTCCGGTATTTTACCATCGGTACATACTGCTAAGAACACTGCTGTGTTGCAATCGCGGCCAAGGCCATGTTATCAATGCACGATAAAAAGCAGTCAGTGCAGCGACCCAAGCGGGGCTCTGGTGCTAGAGTCATTGGGCGTGCAGCTTACCTGTGATTTGATGATCATGGTGGTAGCGCAGATAGCTATACTGTAGTCAAGTAATAATAACTCAGCGGACTACTTCTCGGCCGTGAACGGTCCTTGACATACCTCCGCTTTGATTATATAAGCATGACACAACAACTCTCTAACTTCCCGTTTAGCTCAGTTGGTAGAGCGCGTCACTAGTATTTTCGGGCTATGACGAGGTCAGTCGTTCGAGTCGGCTAATGGGAATTTTTTGCGTCAGTAACCAGTTTCAGGCTTTCGCACATCCTCCCCCCGTTTTTCTAACTGGTTCTACAGGGCAAGGATGCACGGAGAACTGGAGATGATTGGCACGCTGTGTGTGTAATGCAGATATGATGTCCGCAAACTTCAAACACTAAGCACAAGACTTCAGATACATGAGGTGAAATGAGGTGAAGCAATTTAATGTTTTGTCACACTCTGACCACCATAACTTCATCATCCCATCGTAACATCTCCCGTTTAGCTCAGTTGGTAGAGCGTCTCACTAGTACCTTCCCCTTCGTAAGGGCATGACGAAGCGTCCTGAAGACTGGCAGGACCCGCACAGTTCAGTCTTTTTACTCATCAACGTATAGCCATCCATACGAACATACAGATTTGATGTAATGTAGCCTAAGGCAGTGCGATCGGATAGCGAAGATATATGCGTACGATGAACAATATCGTATGATGGTATGCCATGCCATCCACCGCAGTGCTGACTGACAATCTTCACAAGGTGCCCGTAGCGTTGCAAGCTATACGGCACCTGCATGAGTACGGAATTGTCACAGCGAAGCAGCTCGCGAACGTACCTGGAAGGCCGTATTCGCTCGCGACGTTGATGCACTTGTAGCTCGGTGCCGTGCCGTTGGGCGGAGCGACATCGATGTCGTGGAAGCGTATGTTCGGACATGGCACCGCAGCACTACACTCGATGTCTACGACTACATAGGGCAACAACATGTACGAGGTTGGGTAGAAAGCCAGTGGTGAGTGATTTTCGGGCAGTCGAGAGGGAGATGGACGTACTGGTGTTGCGCAACGAGGTCCCCGTCCAGTCACTAAAAGTGAGGTTGCTGAACTGCAGCTTAGACGGCTGGTCGCCACTGCCCACGCGAATCAATGAGAGCGCAAGGTCAGTGGAGTGAGGAGACTCACGATTGCCCGCCGTTGGTTTGGTAGACGTGAATTGGCACGGTGACGCGGTCGAGTGAGACGTGCTTGGCTACCACGTTCGAGACGAAACCTAGTAAAGCAGCACAGCTCCTTTGTTAGACGGCCACGTACTGATCAAGGAACTGAATTCCGCATACCGCCTCCGCCCCCTCCTCCTGTGGGAGGAGACCCATGAACTGACCCGGTCCACGTCTTGAGGTAGACTCCCGAAACCATGTTTGGCTGTACCTGAGGGTCCAAACGGAGCATCTATGTACGAATGGGCAGTCCGCACTATCAGGTACGTAATCTGGAAATGCTAGTGGCTATAGTTACCTTGATATCCTCCATGACGACGTTGTCTACGATATCCGGCTACGTTATACCTAGTGAGCCCGCGGACGAAGCGTACAACGCTAGACTGAATGGACTTACGAGATCCACGTATTGCCCCAGCGAGCCAAACGCGATTCCATTGCCTCCTCGACAGGTTATGTCCTTCGCAATGATATTCGTTGAGTTCTAGGTCACGTTGGTTAGAATATAGCCTCCAAAAGTTCAGCGCGCTTACTCCTTTGATGGCGAGGCAATCGTCTCCGCAAGTGATCTAGAGGTGTGTGAGATGGTAGGGGACAGTAAGCAGTCGCGGGGCGTACATCAAAACGCAGAAGGGAGACCCTGTTCGAGCGGTAGGTATTGATACCTGAGGTAGGGCGAGATCAGCCCTGGTGAGCATCACTGGCCAGAGCCAAGTACGAACCATCTGTATTGGGAACAACACTAGAGTCTCAATTAGCAAAGTCCAAGTACAATAACGAATGAGCCACGTACTTCTGGCCCGCATAGAGCGGATCCTGGTTCGTCGCATTGCAATACATACCGTCATAGACTACGTCTTGAGAATCGGCGACTGCGTTGCACCAGAACGGCTGCGCCTCAATCCTGAAGTCCTTGATGACGCCACTCGTCACGTTCGACAGCGTGAGGGAGACGGGGCGACCGTCTCCATCCGAACGCGAGCGGTTCCCATAGAACGACCACCACGTCTGGCCGTTACCGTTGATCCCGCCTGAAGCGTGCGCGTCGACAATGAAGTCGTGCCCAGTGATCACGAACCACGACGCCTGGTCTTGAATAAAAATGACACGATAGGTGTTGTTGGCGTTCAGCCAGTACTCGGGGTCAGGCTTGAACTAATATGATCGTCAGAAGTCAGTGTACTGGGCGATGGCGTACAAGGTCGATCTTACGTTGAGATAGCCGTACATGTCGACGCGCGACGACACGAGGTCCCATGTCATTTTCCTGTCGCGTAGTCAGATATGCGACTATGCGGCGCGATCTGGATGAGAGAACGAACCTGGTGATGTTGTACTGGCCTGGACCGAACACTGTCGTGCCGAAGTGCCCGCATCTGGCGATTGCGGCCTCCACCTTCGCGCCGTTCAGCGTTCCACATGTAATACGATGGAAGAGCACTAGATGTGATGCGTACCTGGTCTGTATCATCCTTTCCATGTCCAAGAGGCCTGAGCGTGCACGTCTTAAGCGCTCTGTCGTGGACCACGCCTCCCTTGGTCAGCGCAATCCCTAGAAACGCAACCGTAAGCCACGTCAAAAGTGTGCGCATCATCTTGTGCGACATCTGACGGATGAGCGCGGTAGGCTGCAGCCGCGCTCTCGTCGCGACCATTTTATCCCTACACCGCGATCACGAGTCAAGTGACGGCCCGGGCTCACGATGTGTCTGGCGAGGAATGTTCTATTGCGCGTATCATCAGCCATATGATCATGCAAGTACGTTCAGTAAGTGAGAGACGTACGTCGTTGCCCCAATTCCAGCTCTTGCTACGCAACGAGAACGGGCCGGCGTTGGGAGAGTCGCCTGACCCAGCGTCATCAGGCGTATGACTGTCGATTGCACTAATTGAGGTCGAACTGGTGTTACGCGTACTCGACCGACGGATCAAGGCTGACTTCACCCTTTCAAATAGTTAAGGTGCAGCTTCCGCAACTAGAAATAAGTAGGCATCCCGTGCAATGTCGCGAATGCTAGTGAACAAGGCACTTCCGTTTCTCCGCCACTTGAATCACGACATTCCAGTTTAGCTTGAACCCGAGATTCTCAGATGCTTGTAGCCGGTTGAGAGAGTGCGAGCATAGTTCAGGTTATAATTGGACAGTTGAGCAGCTGCAGTTCGAAGAGCCAAGCTCGGTGCTACTAAGTACCAGTAGTTGCCAGTGGTAGCAAGAAGCACAGACGCTCAGCGGTTATATGTTACGTAAGCAATCACCACAAGATGATCTTCGAAACGAATCCCTCCCAGTCCTCCACTTCTCCTCAAGCAGCCTGAACATGCTTTTTCCCAAATCCCGCGATGAAGGGCAGACCTCCAGTCCTTGTCGTCTCTAGATTCTGATGCTGTTGTTGTAAGCCTAGCCAATTTAGAACCGGCGGTTGCCTTACTCATCTCGTCCGCTACTCCAGATGTGTCATCTCTCCTAGCCAGGTTCTCCGCCGATATCCGCGAGGCTGGGAGACGCATGGCTACCACGGTTGGATGCCCATCGATGCACCCAGACTAGTACACGGCTTTTTAGTTGGGCCATGATACCCTTACTGATAACATCTTCGATTGTGTGCGCTCCGGACGCTCGCGTTTCAGTCGCGATTCTCCCGGTGGTCTGAACGGACTGCCGTCATCTCCTGCGCTGCGACCCTCATTCTGGACGCGGTACCTGACTACTGACACATCGACTGACCAAGACGCGTCCACTCCCACTTCCAAAGAAGGCTCGCAGACCCCTCAATCAGCCTCACACGCGTCCTCGAACCACTGCGCGTAGCTTGATGCATCCTAGCGTACAGCAGCCGACCTCCCGCTCAACCTCACGCGCAGCCACTGTGACACTCAGGATCGGTGCGAGGGCAGTGTCCAGTGACACAATCGTCCATCTAACTGCTCCGTCAGCGTCTAGTCGCCCATTGTTTGTCAGCTCGCCCCCTGGCCAGCCTGTTCATCCTCGGTCGCCGACCTCACTCGCGCAAAGGAGTCCTCTACTGTCAAAATGCTATCTCCGCAAAGGCCAGTATACGAGAACTATTGGAGTGCTCTTGATACGACGAAGGTATAAAGACCCGCGCTGCGCTCCTCGACGAGTATCGAACAACGCTCTGTTCCACTCTCCTCGACCACGCTCACAACCCAACCGAAATCACTTCACTGGTACCCCTTCGCAACGATGTCGCACGGTAAACAGTTTACGCTCTACACTCACATTGGCGGCCCTAACGGCTGGTGAGTTCGTTCACGAAAACTAATCTACTTGTCCTCAACGTCTTTCTACCTCGCCATTTCTCTGCACCATCTACAGGAAGGTCGCGTTTGTGCTCGAGGAGCTTGGACTCACGTACGAGAGCATCTTCCTCGACTTCGCCAAGCTCGAGCAGAAGGCGCCCGAGCACACGAAGCTGAACCCGAACGGGCGCATCCCGACGCTCATCGATCACAAGAACAACGATTTCGTGATCTGGGAGTCCAACGCGATTCTCCTTTACCTCCTCGACAAGTACGACAAGGAGAACAAGCTCGGTGTGTCGGATGACAACGACAAGTACACCCTCCTCCAGTGGCTCTTTTTCCAGGCGTCCGGACAGGGGTGAGTATTTTCGTCTCCAGACTTGCGGGCATGCGGGAGAGTGCTGACGGCCCTCGATCTGCACATAGCCCGTACTTCGGCCAGGTGTTCTGGTTCAAGAGGTTCCACCCCGAGCACCTTCCGAGTGTGATCGAGCGGTACCAGAAGGAGACACAGCGCGTGTACAGCGTGCTCGAAAGCGTGCTATCTAAGCAGGAGTGGCTCGTCGGCGGCAAGCCCACGATCGCAGACATCGCGTTCATCACTTGGAATCGCGCCGCGTTCAGCGTGAGCCTCAAGGATCTCCCCGGTGTCGACGTCGAGAAGGATTACCCGTCCGTGTACAAGTGCGTACCTGTCTATCTGTTATAATCTATCGCTTTGGCCCGGCACGCCGTCCTGAGGGCTAACAATCCCTGTGTCATAGG